CATATAGTAAAAAAACCGGAAAGAAACAGCTTCAATGTATACTTCGTATACAGTGTATACACTTTTTTACGAAAAATTGATTTTTTTGGAGTGAAAATAAAAATTGAAGTATTTGTTACAGAACACCTACATGTTTTGTGATTTTGTTGCATACATTGCTGTACTGAAAATCAATATTGAAATGAAGATTATAATAACTAATGAAAGGTAAAACTGCAACCTATGGCATACAATAAATCAAAAACAATCACCAGAACTGCAATACCCCCTTTTTTCGGCGCGCCCTTCACCAACCAAGTTGACGTCTTCAGGGGATTAAGAAATCTAGTTTCTAACTCTGAAACTGGTCTCTATCCATATCTAACAGGCACCCTTTCTTTTCACGATACACATCTATGATTTTGGGTTGAAATTTGACAAACATTTTGTCGTGAAAGTTCCCGCAAATTTCAACAGTGATTCATTTTTATTAGTCAGTGGGCTATGCTTGAAGACTGGCAGTAAACAAATCTAAAGAAATGAACTTTAAACGTTCAAGCCAGTCTCAGATATACCTACACAATAGGTTGAATGGACTGACGCCTATCAGAAAACAACTCCTCCCCTGGCTAATACCACGAAGGGCGTTGGATTATATCCGACAGGCGTCAGTGCAGGAATCTTCACAGAAAATTTCTGCATATGCAATTGGCAATACAACTGAAAGAGTCGAGATTCAATTTTGGAACGGGCACACTTGCAGACCGGTTTCGGGCTCATTAACCACTCGTCAGTGCAAGATAGTTGCCATCATCGACCTAAAGTCAATAATATTCCATAATTGAAAATTGGAATTCTTTCAGAGTATTTCATTCCTCTTCCTAAGTTGGAGCGAACAACAAAATGTCACTCTATCTAGTGGACGAGGTACTGTGTAGGTATATCCGAGACTGGCTTGAACGTTTAAAGTTCATTCCTTTAGATTTACTGGTATTCTTCTTGTAGACATTAAATTCGAGACTCTTGTTACTTCTAATCACTGAGATATCCAATGCCGTATGCAAACCTAATATTTGGGGAAAGTGTTTATTTTTGTATAAATCCACCTTTCTTTGGTTCGTATTTTGAAGTGATAATTGTAGATGAAGTCACGGTTGTCGGCTGAAAATGACAGTTGTCAACGTGAAGTGGACCAGAACTGTCACTTGTCAATTTAAGGATGCGATTGTCAAAATAAAGTGACTGAAACATCTTCAGTCGAACCCTTGGAGCGGTCGAGGCAATAATTACAACTAATTGAGATGGCAATTCAAACAATTCTCGATTTTAAATGTCACCGTTTATTAGAAATTTATCAACTCTTTATAAATATTGTTTATTTCTTTGAATTGAAACAGTGAAAATTATATACTTCTGCGTGACTATATTTTTGAAGTTGTCAGTAATTTGTCAAATTGAGAAAACCGATTTAATTTTATTGAAATTTGATATGTGACTTGGGCTGCATACTGAGTTGACCATATTTTTGCAATAATTTTGAATCTTTTATTTTTTTTACAGTGTTACAATTGCGAACAGGACGCCATCTACCACTGCTGTTGGAATACCGCATATTGTTCGCAAACGTGCCAACAGCAGCATTGGCAAGCGGAACATAAGAAGGTGTGCCGGCGTAAACGTTAAAAGTTCTACCATAGGCAAGCGTGAATTATATTTTTTAATATAGGTTTTACCCATAAATTGATTATGTTGAATATACTTTTCCGGAAACTGTGGAAAATGCAAGTGGGTGTTCAGAATGTGTCTTTTTGAAAAGGCTATTGGCAGCATAGATGAGCAAAATACTGGGTGGAGGTAAAACAAAGATATATTATTTATTTTCGGGGTATTTACTGAAGTTAATCTATCAACTTGGAAATCATTGTTGTGAATATAATTACTTTTTTTTATTGAATTTATGAATATACTTTTTTTTTGAGAAATTTTCAACCCAATATACATTGAAAACTTTTTGAAGAATTCATTTGAATGTAAATTTGAATCAAGCTGTATATGTTGTTCTGAACATTTTCAGAAAATTTCATTGTTTTTCTGTTGTTTTCTATGTTGCTCGAGTTTTTGAATTTTGTTTTTATTTTTGATTAGAATGTTTTTTTTTAATCACATAGTTAGGTTTGTACTTTAAACCACTTATATTGTTAAGATAATGTGAACACAGAGAAATAAATTATTTCATATTTCATTGTTTGATTGTTTCGTCAAGGTGATGTATTTTGATCAAAATGAAAATTGTAAATTATTTAATACTTCTAAAATATCACTAGCATTTATACAAGTATGGTGCAATTTTTCTCAAGAAAATCGTTGACATACAATCAAAAGTGGTCTCGATGTGGAGAGTGTTTGAGAATAGTACTTGTTTTAGATCAAACAGTCAAGTTCGAGGTGTACTGAGTTGAACCCAAAACGATGAGCAGCCACAGTCCATCGCGTATATCCGATATGTACCACTCTTGGTGGAATCAAATGTGCCAAGTCACATGAACACCTCTCGTGAAAGTATCTATAGACGAGAGACAAATCTCCAACCTTTCTTCGATGTTCGCGTCTTCAATCAGGCGGATGGCTCTTTTCTGGATGGAATCCAGTAACTTCAGGGTATGTTTGGGGGCAGAGCTTCATGGTTGCTTTTTGTATGTAGACTGTAGATCATTGGCATAATATTGAAGACAACTCACCTGCAGTCATTTTTAATAACGTCCGGTATTGTGGATTTTTTTAATTTCTGGCAAAAACATAACAATCTGCACTGATAGCAGACGAGCCCTATTAGCCTTTAACAGACAACATGTTACCTCAGTGCTAGTACTAGAGTGGCACCAAGATTTAGCCAAAGCCTCAGTAGATAATAACATTATCCTGAGGTGGGTTAAAGGACATGACAGGAGTAAAGGTTTTCGCATTGCCGACTCTTTAGCCAAGGAAGCGCCTGGACTAAGAATTTTAGGACCCAGTGGCACCCACGGCCTGATGACTTCGACAATTGCAGAACTAGTCAAATGTTACACCCATGCTCAATCCTTAAAGAGATGGGATGGAATCAAAGGATGTAATCTTGCCAGGATCACTTTGGGCAACCCTGTAAAGCTGGCGCCGAAGAAGTATCTGGGGATGATTAGGAAAAAATCTACGCTTAACAGTAGGATTTCTGACTGGCCACCGTCAACTAAGGAAACACCTCCATAATATGGGGCTAGTGAACACACCTTTATGTAGGATGTGTGAACAGGAAGATGAAACTGTCAGGCATGTCCTATGCGAGTGTATGTTCGGCGAGTCTTGGCCTACACCTGCCAATATAAAGGAAATTTCTCCAAGGAAAAACGTCCTATAAAGGACAGGATGGACGATGGCCTAGGAGGACAACTCCTTGGGAGGATGTACAAGGGGTCACATGTGGCCTAAGTGCTGTGGGCCTACACTCATCCTCCCTATTTTACAGATACTGTGGAATTTTTATGCCATATCATTCTGAAAAAGGGAATAATTTTGCATTCCCTTGTACTTGCGCCCTTAGTAGGGCCCATATGTCCAGTGTCTAGCTACAACCAAGCTAGAGAGCAATTTATGTCAAATCAAATGTGAACATTTTTTTTGAATATTTGTTGTTAAATATCTTTCCCAACTGATTTGAAATTTTGCCTATTCATTTCATTAATGGAGGATGAAACTGCGTCAATTCTGGTATTTTTTTGTTACATTACTGATAAGCAGCTGTAATTCCTTTATTTTAAAAATGGGATGTGGAAAATTATAGTCCTATTTCAGTCTCATATGGCTTTACTTACTAAATTATTTAAATATGCCGTCCTAGTTGAATTTTATTCGTTTTTAAATTAACACTCTATTTTTACCCAAGAGCAACGTGGATTTTGTCAACAAAATTGGAATATTATGGTATAAGAGATGTTTCACTCAGTTGGATAAATTATTTTCTCCAGAACCAGGATCAATATGTGTCATTGCAGATGGCGAAAAATAATAGTATGAGTACCTTCAACTTCAACACTGAACGTAGAAACATAACAATGAGTGTACCACAGGGCTCCATATGAGGTCCTTTTTTGTTGATTCTGTTTGTAAACAGCATTGACTTTATAATTGAAGAGTAGTTACACAGCCTATGCTGATGATTTTTCATTAATTTTCTCCGCACCTGATATAATTTTAGAAAAAAATGTTCAAGTGCATTAAATCATGTATCCAGTTTTTTAAATAGACACAATTTATTTTTCAACACAGGTGAAACACAGGTTATTCGCATTCAGAATTGCTAGAAAAAATTTAATATTTCCAGTTCAATGTAAATAAAGTATATTTAAAAAGAAATGGTAGAAGTGTTGAGTTTTTTAGGTATTTATCTAGATTAATTCCTGAATTGGAATTGTCATTACCAACATCTGATCTAAACTGAATTCCCTAAAGTTTCCTTTTATTTAATTGGGATCTGTACTGTTTAGAGTTCAGGTATTCAGTATCTGCTATGCTCATATAGATTCTAAAATTAGGTACAGCTCAAAATGTATTCGTTGCACAAAAGCGTGATGTACAACTATTTCTATACAAGAGTATTCACCAACACAACACCGGAATCAAAAACCAGTTCCATGTGCCAATTGCAAAATTAAAAGTGACTTATTCTGGGTCAGAATACATTGGTCGAAAAATTTACAACAATCCTCCAAAATATGTGAAGGCTACAAAGCAACTGTATGATTTTTAAAAAATACTGAAAGCATATCTGTTGGAAATTCGTTATTATACACTAGAAGAATTTTTTAATATTTATTAGGTCTGTTCTTCTTTTACTATCGCTTTATTTAATTTTTATAATTAACTTTGGATATCCTCATTTTATTTTGTTGATAGTTTTCTATACAACTTTATATTGTCATGGAAATAAAGTATTATTATTATTAAATTTAACATATCTTGCAGCAGTCTGCAACCGAAGTCAGAGAGTTGTAAAAAAATTTCAATTTATTCAGTGAAAAATTATAAAATCAATCATCATCAACCTCCACAAAAGCTACGTTTTTGAAAGCGTTTGATATGTCATTGTGGCTTTCTAAAAACTTCAATTCTTCTGTGGTTAATTGTTCGCCCAACTGTCGTAGTGCCATTAAAATTTCAGCCTGAAAAGAAAAATCGTTGTTAATATAAAATACTATATCGGAAGTTTCCATATAGGGTTTGTTTATTGTTAACAAGATTATCCTGAAATCATACCTTTTGTCTATCTCTCGAGTCTATGCTTAACGTATTGAGTCTCAGGCTCTCCTCAATCATTAACAACCTTTCACGAAGTTGTTTGGGATCTTTCTTTCCAAATAGCCGAATCACCTCTGGCGTTCTGAATGCTTGTGATATGGCAGCTTGTGTAGCCTTGAAATAAAAACAAATTTTGACGCATTGATGGACACCTTTGGTACATCAATCAATCATTAATCCATGACAAATAGGAATATCCTAATTTACAGTTATAAATCAATAAAACTAAAAAATTATTAAAAGTACTAGAAAATAAAGACCGGTTGGTTACGAGATGTTGACAATCTTTCTCTCAGATGAAGGTTTCATACATGCAGTCAAGCTGCGTTGAAATTATTTGAATCCCAGGCACATTGCTGTTTGTGTCGGATCTTTTATGCACTGATGTGAGGTAATACCTTGAAACAGGTCTGTATGTGATCTGCTTGACTGATTTCAGCCTGCTCCTGCTGCTGGATGAATGAGAAACTCTAACCTCTGTGATGTATCTTACATAAATGTCTGTTAGATATAATTCAATATCCAGCGTGGTATTAGCCGGGGAAGTAGGAACTACCAGAACCTACTGTGTGGGTATGTTGGGAGGGATGAATGTTTCAAAATTTCATTTCGAAATATTAATTTTCTGATACGTATGTCTCTTTCCATGATACAGTCTTCATTATTTTGATTCCTTTCATCAGAGTATCGGTACATGAAATGTTTCTTCCCTGAGGGGGACTACCATGAAGAGGAGAAAACAGAAATTGATGAATAAATAAACATTTTTTGACATGTCTATATACCATGTGTTTCTGCGGGCATGTTCCAATGATGACTGTTCATTCTTTACTCTTCGCGGTTCAAGACTAGTTTGTGTTGAACATGTATTCAGATGGCATGTGGTAATCTTCTGAGATTTCTGTTTTTCCAGTCTGATTTGGTGCACTCTTGTTCCCCAATTATTACTAGACAAACGTTTTAAAACTTTTTAGTTATTATAAAGTTAAAAACGCACCAGCTGTCTATAATATTACTATAATATATTATATATACTCAGGCCTCACATCTTGGCATGTTATTGTCAAAAGATAAAGGTATGTTGGTGACCTTTTATTGACCCCTTTTTATGCCGAATTTGGTTGGCAAAAATTGTATTTTCTTATTTACAGATGATACAACTTGAACAATTGATGCTGGTAATTCTGAGAAAATGTAGGAAAAGCTACACCTATTGTTGTTTGAATTCACAAAATGGCATAGGAAAAATTCTTTAGCAGTAAATTCAAGTGAAACAAACAGTGAGGATGCAATTTTATTCTAGAATGACCAAAAATTAGGAATTGTGGCAAGGAACTCAAATATAGCACAAGCGAATAGAAAAAGTTGATTTGGGATACTTTGTTTTTAGAAAACGGCTCCTGATTCAATCAAGGAGTCAAAATCATATAAAATCTTTAAGAATAATACGAAACTATTCTTAATAAAAAATGTTTTTATAGTTTAAAAGACTATTGGAGTGATAATTCCTGGGAGTAATTCCCAAAGTAATATAATATATGTATTTGTTTTTAAATTGTAACATTTATATATTAGGTGCCATGTTTTATGTTTTTATATTTATATTTTATCTTTATTCTTTAATTTGTTATTCAAGTATGACTAACTATTATTTTTATTCTTAATATGTATATAACATATATTACAATTATTGACCTACATTATGTACCGATAATGGTTAATAAAATTATCATTATTATTATTTTTATTGAATGTCTATTTTGCCTTTGTATACTCTCACATTTCCTATAATATCGCTCTATAGGGATGCTTCTCCCAGCTTTATAAAATTGTGTGTCCCAGAAAAGGATCATATGCCTGATGTTTAAATTAGATTAGTGAGTCTTTCAGCACCAAGAGATGCTGAAGAGGCAATAAGGCAAGTGTCTTATTCCGAAACATCGGATGTCCGCCATTGAAGACGATAGTGTTCCATGTAGGTGAAATTTTACTTCTTTCATATACTATATTGTGTAGTAATCCTGAGAATATTTTGATTCAATTCCATAAGTATGTTAGGAGTGCGAACTGAATAGAAAAAAAAGTTTTTCGTATAATTCAATGTTCTTGGAAAAATAGTTTTGAAAGTATTTTTTCTTTCATGTACTTCAATGTTTATATGTAGGTGTTTCGATGGGCTTTTTCTTCCAGTTTGTGTGAAAGTAATTTCTTTGCATGATTTATACACCTGTGTAAAGAGTTTATTTTGAAATTAATTGCTTTCTTCCTTTCCCAAAAATGAGTCTCCTGAAAATATATCCCTTTCAATTTTTAATAGTTTCCTTTACAGTTCAGCGGAATATATCAATCAATATGAAGACTGATAATATATGCTAATAAAGTTCTAGTGGAAAGTCATCTTTGTGTCATTCAGGCTTGGAGTCCAGCTCCCTCACCCTTTCGGCTGATTTTTGGTCTCGAGACGGACCAATGGGTTCATGACTGATGGTATGGCGGCATGAAGTCCTCAGACATCAGTACCGCCCTCCACGGGATACCCCTACCTGGCTGGGGTGTGATGGATGAGAAAGCTATTCATCCGTTAACGGGGAACATGAGGGCCTCATTCGACAGAGTGTCGGGGCCTTCTATATCGGGAGGGGTCGTCTACAGCATAATCTTTGGCTTCCCTAACTAACGAATAAAGTTCTATTTGTTAATTGTTATATTTATATGCATATCTGGCAGACTGTCAATCATGGCTTCTTTCAATTACAGGTGTATACTTTGTTATCTACCCCTTACAAAAAATAATGAAAATTAAAATGCTCTTTCCAAAAAAATCATAGATACTGAAGAAAAGCTTCAGTTACAACAGCTTGCAGTTTTAGAGAGTTAACTGGCTTGAATATATCAATCAACTATAAAAATACAGCATTTTATTTAGATAAAATTACTTACAAGCTGTACAGCCCCCAATGCACTAACCAATGAAATGTCACCCTTTACCAATTTATTTAGGCTGTCATTCAGTTCTTTCAGTTGCTCCATTGTTTCATTTTTAGTTTCTTCATATTCTTCCTCCTCTAATTCTTTTCTGAAAGATAATAAAAAAAACAGAAATTGAAGAATAAACTACACAATTTTTTTTCGCTGGTCAGCATTATAGACCTACTTGCAATCTTCCAAATCCTGCAGTTGTTCCACTAATCTATCTAACTGACCTTCCAGATTCTGTTTGAGTTTTTCCGTTTCGGCTTTACCATAGGAAGTCATGACTGTAATTTAAAAAATTAAATTCCCAACATTATTCGACTTTGAGGTTACGTTCAAAGATTTGTTTATTTTGTCATTTTTTAGTCAATCTCGTGACGCTACCAACCTTACTACTGAATGGAATGTTCACCAGTGCCGTATTTAGGTTTGATGGCTCTAAGGTCCATTCAGAAACTGAAGTGCTTTTGTAAAAAACAGGTACTATACGGTTACAAAACTTACACGCTTATCAAGTATTAGTAATATCTATAAAAAGTTTTGCATTTTGTTGAGGGAATGCACAAGTACTGCAGTGGTGTCCGTGGAAAAGCGGCGATTTACTAAGATTTTCTGTGGATTTACATTGGAATTGATTCACTAAAGAACATATTTTTTTATTCATTCAGACAAAAATATCCAGAGTAATGACACAATATATATATTTCAACCTAACCTAAGAAGGTACTTGGTGCGAATAATTATGACGGAGTGATTTTTTCAGTAGAGCAACATTTATTTGGAAAAATAGTTTAGATATAATAAAAACATAATACAAACATATAATAAAAACACATAAAAAAAGAAAGTAATACAAATTATGAAACAAAAACAAAAATTAATTGACGCTCCGGGGCGACTTGATTGATTTCAGTGGCACATTTGCTTTTTCAGCTGCAGGAAAACACGGAAAAACCTGACTATCGTCAAACTTAAACCAGTCCGTTTCGTCTTTAACCAATGCGTTATAATGACCAGATTCAACGCCAGAAACACAGTAAACAATGACTGCATGAAGAGTATAATAGTGGTCTGCTAGATTGAAGTGTACATATATTTCGGACCTTCGTAAGAATTTGGTGCCTCCATCAGAGGTTGAGTCATGTTTGAAGATCATCAGTATTATTATTAGATTGACTGGTGTCTTAGCTATATTTGTTGTTTTATAATAATCAGTTTGTTTGACGCAGATGATTCAACAATAAGATTTGCACGGACTGGTTATCAGTCATATTAGGAAACGCTAGTTGAAGTTTGAGTTGAATACGAAATTATTGACAGTTTGTCGCGTACTTTTGATGCACACCGCCTTCGGGAAAATCAAGCGAGTTGATGTAGGTTCAGCTTCTCAAGAAAGCGTTTTTTCCAATAAATGAGAAATGACTACCTACCCATATCCGATATATACTTCAATACCCCCCAAAAAATGATAAATGTAATGGGAAGAACTGAAAGACAATATATCTAAAATGGGTGCAACTATGCAAAAATTCTGCCAACTATCACCACTCAAAATATATAACATTCAAATGACATCAAGTGAAATAAAAGACGAGATAAACCGTTTAGAAACAATTACTTTCACACGAAGAGAAAAAACATATTAAAATAACTACTTCCATAAGAACATTGAATGTTGAACAAACATTAGTTATGGAATTGAAACAAATATTTATAGTATAGTGTAGCGTTCCTGTGAACGATATGTGATTCAACTCCAGAACAAATGTTTGGAGTACAAACTGAACGGGAAAAACAATTTTCGTGTAATCAAATGTTCACATGAAAGAAGTTGTTTTAGAAGGATTTTTTTCTTTCGTATAATACAATGTTCATGTGAATGTAGTTGTTTCGAAAGTTTATTTTCTTCCAGTTTGCATCTGAAATTATATAACTCTTTTGCATGATTAATGTATCTTCATGAAGTGTTTTTATTGTAGCATTTGATTTCTTTCTTCCTTTCCTTTAGAGTTCCAACATTTTCTTTTTAATGATAGAGAAGAAGAAAACCAAAAAGGTTTTTTTTCAACTATAATTGTTCTCACAGCACATACTGCCTAGTATGTTGCGTCTCCTCATTTGATAATGTCATCAGTTTGTAAGTCAAAATTAGAATTTAAATTTTTAATTCGACATATAATTTTAATGTGAATTTTTTGTGAGTTCATGTCTTGAAAAGATACTAGGAAAAATATTGTCAAGTCCGTAAAGGTATGATTATGAATTCATTCGTGAATAAGTGTAATAAGTATATCAATAATAATACTATTAAAAACATTGGAGATTTAAATAATATTGTCACCTATGTAAATTGGTTCCTAATAAATGCAAAAATTCAGACTCTCTTTTTGTTTCTCAATCCGCCCCTGTGCTCGATAAGACAGATTTCTGTGATAGTTGCCGAAAAAGCTGGAACAAGATTGGTTACAGTAGTTTTGCAACATTCCGTTAGGTGTGCTTTTGTGAAAACGTGAAAGCCGCGTGTCATTTTTAATAATTGAGAAGTATTAACTTTGAAAATTTGCGTATTATTCAATGACATTTTATTAACTCGAGTGTAGTAAACACTTCGAAGTGCCGCCGCATTTCCCTTTCCTACTATTTAATGAGAAGACACTGAAAAGACGGATAGTGCTATGTGTTTTTAGTTAAATATTCCGCCATTTTGGAATTACCTTAACCTTTCACAGAAAAACAGTTTAAACATTTGTATTAGTGTAATTGAAAAAATCCGTATTCATCGGTGCATAAATAAATACTCTGCTCAGTGAAAATGTCGAACAGTAAATTGGGAACTTCCGTGAGAATCCAGTAATGTATCCTTCTTCGTTCTCGAACATATGCATATTCCAAGAAGAGATCTGCCACGGCTGCTGTGAGGGACTTTGCGCCCGAAGCTGAAATGAGCAATAATCAGAAACAGACGTCCGCAGGAGGGCCGCAGACTCAAAGATTCACACCTTCTCCGTATACCTATTTAGGCAAGTGTTTTAATAGTTACACCCATCTGTCATGCCACTAACATAAATGTCACACAAACTAATGCAACGAAATATCTCTGGTTATTTTCCGTTCGTCCTTCTGGAATATCGAGAAAAGCTGTCGAGTTTTTATTAGAATCATTCTCGTAACCGAAAAACTGAAATGTGAATGCATTATTTCCTTGTTTTGGTATGTCAAGTGGTGGTTCATGAGCTTTCGTCATTCACTTTGTAGGTAGGTTAGGTATACTCAGTCCAGGTATTCTACATTCACCTGCTTATGTAGTGGTCGTGATTAATCCATATGGTTTAGTGTCAATTCATCAAATTCGTGATAAAAGAACACGTTTTTTTGTACATTAGAGTTGTAGATTTTGGATGGTTCGTAATTATAGTTGTACGGCAACTTTTCTAAATAGTGACGTCCTCTAATGGAATGTATTACATCATATGACTAGCTCGAAAATGTCTAACAACAATAATTGGTGTAAGTGGATAAGTATATTTCGTATTTTATGAAGCATTCATTACATAAGGCCTTTATATTCCGTGCGAAAATGATAATTTCCTTGCCGTAATGCCACGTTGTGCATATTAAAATGCAGGTAAGGTAGTGTGTTTGGGTGGCCCCGTTATTTTTCACACATGGAAAGTTATTTACATATATGAATGATCAAAACATTTCATTAATATTCGTTTGGTTTGCTTTAGAAGTTCACATTTTGACGAAAAATTACTTAATTTTGTTTGATACACATGTTGCTACTTCCAGTAGAAACCTTGCGAAATTTTAAAAGTTTTTTATTCTCGATTGGCTACAGCGTTGCCATATCGCAAAATTGTAATTATAGTGAAGGTTGACCAAAATTATCATTATGTTTGAATTATTGTTTTAAGGGTTCACAGAAAAACTTACAGGGTGTCCCAATGAAAATATCCGATTATAAACTTTTCTGGGGGCAAACGATAAATAATTTTCGGAAACATTTTTTGATGACTGTTGAATGATATTGAAATATATCAATACTCAGATGCAGTTTTTTGAAATTTGGTTCCATACTTTTTGAGAAATTACTTCCTTAGGTAAAGTGGATTCTCAGAAGCTAACTTTTACAACTTTTTAATACTAATTCTGCAGTGACCAAGTTACAGTTGAAATTCTATTTCTGTTTTTTATTGATACAATATTAATTTTACAAAAAAATCTGCGTTGGAGTTTTTAGCCTAAATAGTGACAGTGATTGTGGTTTTTGCATAATCATTTTTTTACTGTTCAAAGTAATGTAAAATGGCCATACAATCCAAAACATGATATTTTGACATGATACTCGAAAGCAGTATCTACGGTTTTGAAAACTGAAATTTGGTATATATATTGAAAAGAGATTGGATTAACAGGTTATATTATTTTCGACAGTTAAAAAAATCATTTTTTAGATGACAATGACTTTCTTTCATATCAGACTTCTCTTTTATATCATTGAGAAGGACATGGAAATTTTTGGATACTGGTAACTCTTCTCATATTTGTGATGCACTGTTTAGAACCTTTGGTGTAATATTGAATATTACTAGAATTTTTTTTCAACACCAAACCGTTATTTTAATACCTCGACACGTGTTTTGATCACCAAGTGATCATCTTCAAGAGGAAGATTAAACTCCTCTTCCTTTTGAAGATGATCACTTGGTGATTGTAACACGTGTCGAGGTATTAAAAATAACGGTTTGTTGTTGGGATAGAAATCCAGTACAATTCTTCTCATATTTCTGTTGGAAAAATTTTTTCCATCTGTAAAGGCATTCAAATTTGTGAATGTTGAATATGTGATATGTATATGTGTATAGACACGCTATACAATAGCGTGAAGAAGCTATTGTATAGCGAAACACGTTTTTCGTTTTCCTAAAACTGTTTAGTGAAAATCTCACAAAGTGTTTCTTGAATAAATGTTTAATATATTTTATCGATAATTCAGTTGTTTTCAAGTGTAAGATATAAATATTGTATAATCCTATTCAGAAAGTCACTTACAGTACTTTGACTGAAAAGAAAAATAATTTTCATGACAGTTAATAAGCTTTTGTTCTAGTGCTGGAAAAGTGTTTTTAATAGGTTAATTTCACGCCAGAGGTTCCAAGTTCTACTTATCGAGTAACCATTATTTTGGGATCCTCTCTTGTATCATACATGTTTTTTAAAGACTTTTCTGTTGATACTTTATTTATAAAGAAGAAACATTTAAGATTGATGAAATTGGATGCATGAAAAATGAATATTCATAAGATTACTCAAATAATTTTATAAATATACAATTATCGTGTGTTAATAGTCATGAAAAACGTAAAAATTAAAAAATTATAATAGAAAAATAAAAGAAAATCTTGATCAAAGTAATTCAATACTGAAGATTGAACTCATTGCGTGGAATTCTTCAAAGAATAGGTGGAATGTAGGAAAAAATTGCTTTTCTTAACATTCTTGAAATTGAACGAAAAATTTGCAATTAGTGTGAAAATTATTATTTCGTCTTCTGATCTATGTTTGACTCTCAAGTTAATTTCGCTTAGAAGTTGTTCATCATTTTTTCCAGTATGAAACGGGAATTATTGTACATTTGGCATCGCCTATAGAATAGAATTAACGGCGCACGCGTAATCATGTTCTGGTGGTTGAAATCCGAACTAACTCCTGTCGATTCGGGCAATGGCGTTTGTCGCCTGAAATCTATCGTAGCTTCGCTGAGTGAACATTAAAAAATTGATTGAATACAATAATAATACATTGTTCCGGAAGTTGTTGCGTTAACGAGTTTTCGCGGAAGTGATGAATTTCAAGCGATCGTCCATCGAGACCACGTGATTTTCGTTAAAACAGCGAAAATTTCCGTAAAACGCCCTTATTGATTTTTGCTGTCCGACTTGGGTGCAGCGAGACGTGCTTCGCATGTTAGCTATTTTTTCTATTCGCAAACGACGAAACTTTTCCGAATTGTGTTCAACGCGAAGAGACAACAAAGGATGTTTTTATATATCGAGTGACATTGCATTTTTCGCCAGTGTTTTAAAGTGTCTTCCAGTGGTTGCGAAAACCCCGCCGTGAATCACGAAATGTCGACGACAAATATACGCGGCCCTTTAAAGATACCTTCCTCCGGTTGTTTCGATTTCGTCCTCCGTTTCGGTTTTCCGGATTCGTCTTCAGACACGATATCGAATTGATTCGGTATCCGGGTATCGTTCGGAATTATTTGATGTGAATCTTCGGTGTACGGAAATCGGACAACATGGTCTCGAGATACGTGACTAATGGACCCGTGAAACAGGATGGGATTTGCTTGTTGCCCCCGCCGCACTTCAGGATGATGACTCCGCCAAGTGAGTTTTCCTTGAAAATCGCCGCACACGTGCATGTTTACCTCTGTAAAGTCGGCGAGGTCGCTTGCAGTAAAATTAATGAAATATCTTTTTTAAGGTTAATTGTCAAAAATTTGTCGATTGCAAATTGTTACTAACTCGATATCAAGTTAGTAACAACCAACCTAGTGAAAATCTTATCCAATGAAGTTAAAAAAAAACTCAACCTAGTTCTCAGAGAATTATTATGGAATTTTTAAAGTCGTAAGAATATTTTGCACCATGTGGCAACACTGCAAAATATATATTTGATTTATTATCATTTTGAAACATCGATCTTAGAAGATAAAAACTTCTTTATAAGGTTAGCAGTATAATTTTTTTAATTATTGACTAATTGTCAAAAATTTTCGTTAACAAGTAACATTTGTCGTGCTCCTACTTTTTTATGTGGGGTAGGTCTGCCAATTTGATATCAACTCAGGTCAGCCACTCAAATAACATTCTTGATAAAAGTCATATTTTGAAAGGTATTTTCTACGTCTTAGAAGTATCCAAAATATTTCTTGTATCAGCCACACCGAAAACGTACTTGACTGGTTTCCTAGTCTCGAACACGTCCCCTTTGTTGTGGTTGTCTTCCAGAATTTTGTCTTTTGTATTTGACTTCATCTTTTGCTTTTTTGACTTTTGTTTTGGCTGATGTTTGCAACTTGGTAAGTGGGTATTCCAACTGAGGATTCACCATAACCTAACGTTATGTGTTGATTCTATTGTGTTCTTGGCATAAGCTTTCGACTTTTCTGGGTCTCATCAGTTTGGCGAAGAAACCAAAGAAATATCTGTTACTAATATTGGGCGAATTTATTGTCGTAACTCATTTCATATTAAAAAGGTTCCTAAAACATGTTTCTGTAGAAATTATTGCATTTTTCATGTAATATCTTGTACTGTGACAAAAGTTGTTCAGTGTGGCAACACCGCGATTCGATTTCTTCACAAGTTTTTTCTTCGTTTTTTCCAAAAGATCGTGAACTGAGGAAACCAGGAGTAATTTATATTTTACATACGTTGGAAAAATCGATTTTCGGAAAGAGAATTAACAAAAATTCTCATAGTTAGAAATGTAATTATTTGAAGAATTATTTTTTCTGAATAAGCGTCATATTGGAACGATTGTCGAATCCCTTTCAAGCCCGAATCTCTCTTCAAAATATCGACCTTATAAGAAAAATTTATTCCCAAATAAAGTTAGAAAGACCAGTTGCAGGAAATTCAAATTATTTTTTTAATGGGTGACCAAAATATCGACCTTATAAGAAAAATTTATTCCCAAATAAAGTTAGAAAGACCAATTGCAGGAAATTCAAATTATTTTTTTAATGGGTGACTGATTGTCGAAAATTTGTCGTTAACAAATGATAGTTGTCACTCTTCTACTTTTTTGTAGCTAGGCTTAGGCTGCGGGCACGAAAATGGCGACGGCCCAGCGATGGCGACGCGACGGCGGAACGGTGGCGATACATACAACAGGTTGGCAAGCTATTGGGTTTTTCCCAGAAGCTCTGTTTTACACACGGCTTACAGTTGGTGGTGGTTGATACCCTGCATAAGAAAAGCAATTAATCAATATCAGAATGCCCAGCAGCAGCAATCACGACGGAGTCTGATAATGATGACAAAGATGATGATGGTATGGATGGAAATGAAGAGAACGTGACTCTAATAAATATGAATTCACCGCCATTTGAAATACGTCGATCTATTGAAGAAATTACGAAAAGTGGTGTGAAGTCTTTTAAACGGTCATCAACCAAAAATATTTGAAGGAACAAGAATGCCCTAATAAATAATTGGCATAAAAATAAGACTGCCGTACTCGCTAGAATAGCCTTTTAAATATGTTAGAAAGTTTCTACAACTTGAAGACATTAATCGATATTGAATCTGAGATTAAGTTCAGCGATAATGAATGATTCAAAATTACTGATCTTATTGCCAACTTGAAACCTTCGAAATTGGATAAACATAACTGTATAACACTATAGGTATCCGAGCTCAGTGTGGAGAGAAATAGCGTAGCGCCGTACCAGTGAAGAGAAGATCGAACAGTCGCTTGCGCATGGCGACCCGTCGCCACCTCAGCAATTGGTTTAACGTGCGGGTATGGATGTTTCAGATCAAAAATAACCTCAATAACCTATTTCTCGAGAAATTAATCGAATTGTTCGTTTCTTGAGAATATTTTGCACCGTGTGGGAACACAGCATAATGTATACTTGTTTCATTTATCAATCATTAATTTCTGTAATCCTAGAGACGAGTTATCAAATTCACCGATTGATACGATTGGCATCATCCGAAACGTTAGTAAGTACGTTTTAGTCGGTTGAAGCAATCCATAGTAATTTTTCTGTTGAATTCAAGGACGAGCCTTTCATTTTTGTTTGATACATTTTTTTGCAAATAATCGATGTGTTAACCAACAGCCGTATCATCTTAGACAATTATTTATAGATAAAAAACAATTGTGCTTTAATTTTACTTCTCTTTTTTATACATTTTGAATCTGGTCTTTCGTCAAACAAAATACTTCATAAACGAATGAATTATTTATATTGTCGTGTAACTAACTAGTGCAAAATAAAGTGGAAAATAAAGTATATCGATAAAAATACAAAAAATTATCGAAAAAATTCGTTCTGTATGTTTTTTTATATTGCAACAGTTATTCGACAAATGTTTTCTACAAAAAATGTTTCCACTTTAGAATTTTTTCGAAACTTTCTTTGTGCTAACTTTATTCAAAGTTTATAGAGCCATCAATTTTAAAAACGTTGTTCGATAGTTGTTTTTTATTCTTAGATTATTGCCCAATGAGATACCACAATTATTGGTAGGTAAATGTGATTCTTAAATCAAAAAAACATTTAACAGAATTTAGGATTCTGCTAGACTATTTTTCTTTCAAGGAAGATGTATCATGAAACAATTCTAGCCTTTTTCTTTTACGCTCTATTGAAAAAAAATTGATAAATGGATCAAATATACATATTGCGGTGTTGCCACTTATGCAAATTTTTACAACACGAGATATGATTCGAAAACTACAATATTTTCAAGAAATACGTTTTAGGGCTTGATAATTAATGAGTTCCGATAATTATTCGATATTTGATTTTTATTAGGAATTTCACTTGATTTCAAATTGGCAGAGCTCTATCCCTTATTAGAAAAGTATGGATGCGACAATTACTGCAAATTCTCAACAATCCAATCAATTATTTCATCAATTTTACAAGTTTCGTTAATAAACGCACACGTGCATGTTTCGTCCACGCTGCTTGCTTGCTAGCTAGCCTGGACTCTAAAAAAATCAATATGGCTTCACGGATTCGTTTTGCTAGCGCCGACCTCTCCGGGTCATTTTCCGAGAAATTCCCCCAAAGTTGTCGTTCGCCTCGTCTGCTCGATGCACTTTTAGTACAGTCAAATTAGACCGAAAATTCTTCCAACTCGAGAATATCAAAAAGAGAAGATGTGAATTGTCCATAACATTCACAATGAATGTGGTTGGGAAAATTCCATATCGACAAATCGTTCATTGATAGAATTACGGGAAAAGGGAATATGCAAGATCATATTTTTTGTTTATATGAGGTGGCCGAATGAATACTGAATAGAGGTCATCTGAAAGTGTATAAAAATTTTAGGAATAGTGTATTCTTTTTCGTGCATCTTTTCCGTGCATCTTGAAAGATTCGTCTGTCCCAACGTACCTACACAATAGGTTCAGGTTAATTTCTGTCGAAAAACAACTACTTTCCCGGCTAATATCACGCTGTACATTATATCAGATAGACATTCATGTAAGATATCTTGCAGAGGATAGTCTTTCAGATGATTCTTATTCATCCAACAGTATAGGACCACGCTGAAATCAATCGTGTAGATCAGACCGGTTTCGAGGTATTATCTCTCATCAGGAAATATCTGATCCACAGAAATGTGCCTGCAATAAAGATACTTTTGGGGATTTGACGAAGGTTTCATAAATACAGTCGAACCGCTTTGTAGTCAATAGAGTCTCAGGCACACTGCTACTTGGGTCAGATTTTCCCTGCATTGATGAGAGTTAATATCTTGAAAACGGTATGTAAGTGATCTACACGATTGATTTCAGGGTGGTCCTGTTGCTGGATGAACGAGAATCATCTGCAAGACTATCCATTGTAAGGTATCTTGCATAAATGTCTGTTCGATATATTCAATGTCCATCGCGGTATTAGCCGGAAAAGTAGTTGATTTCCAGCAGGAATTTAGCAGAACCTACTGTATGGATACGTTGGGGGAGATAACGTTTCGAAATATTTATTTGCATTATTCGTATTCCTCGATACACTCTTCAGACGTATTTTAATTTCTGAATAACTTATTCATAAACGTTTATTCATTATATCAGTACATTTGAAAATTGATTATCTATTTGAAAATATATACCCAGGATTATTTGGTCGAATTCATAAAAAATGGCAATTCTGAGAAAATCCAGAGATTAGTTAGATTGCGTACTGCCAAGCTTGTTCATTTATGTTTCATTACTCTTCGGTATCAAGTTTCTGTAAGATGATGCAGAATTCAAAAGATATGCCACCATTATTCTTGAAACGTCATTTATTGAAGATATACCGTTCTCTGGATGTTCTTCAGAAACCGACATAGGTACTCTTCCATTCACCATAGCGACACAACGTGCATATCCATACTGGCCTCTTTCAGGAGAGTTGCCGATGCAGACAGTAACTTTTAACCTTTCTGGGTCGCTCATTCTCATATATTCTGCTATGAAGATCGGGATTTTTCATCACAGTTATAGGGGCGCAAGCAGGACAATCTTCCAGGGCCTTGTTCACACACCTAACTCAGGACCTCGTTCATAAGTCGAGCCTTGTTCACAAGTCAGGCTCTTTTTCACATAGATCAGGGGCCTCATTCATAAGTCGAAGTCGTGTTCATAAGTC